TACAAATGGCCAATAAGTTCTTGAAAATGTGTTCAACCTCATTTTTTATAAATGCCAGTTAAAAGTACAATAAGATACTGCTACACACCCACCATAATGGCTAAAGCAAAAGACCAGCGTCATCCAGTGTGGGTCAGGATGTGGAGGAACTGGGGTTCCCTTACATGGCTAGTGGGAATAGAAAAGGGTACAGTAAAGCTAGGTGCAGTCATGCGTGCATGTAGCCCTTGGGAGGCTGAGGCGCTCAGGAGTTCAAGGTCAGCCTGAGCAACACAGTGAGATGCCCAACTCTAAGGAAAACAGAACGCCAGGTGCTGTGGATCACACCTGTGGTCCCAGCACTTTGGGAGGCCGAGGCGGGTGGATCTCGAGGTCAGGAGTTCGAGACCAGCCTGACCAACGTGGGGACACCCCGTCTCTACTACAAGTACAAAAATTAGCCAGGCATGGTGGCACACGCCTGTAATCCCAGCTACTCGGGAAGCTGAGGCAGGAGAATGGCTTGATACCCAGAGAAGGAGGTTGCAGTGAGCCGAGATTGTGCCACTGCATTCCAGCCTGGGCGACAGAGCAAGACTCTGTTTCAAAAAAGAAAGAAAGGAAGAAAGAAGGAAGGAAGGAAGGAAGGAAGGAAGGAAGGAAGGAAGGAAGGAAGGAAGGAAAGAAGGAAGGAAGGGAAAAAGAAAAGAGAAGAAAACAGCAAATTCTCAAGAAATTGCATTTACATTTACCCTAAGATCCAGCAATCCACAACTAGGTATTTATCCAGCAGAAACAAAAACAAGTGTCCGTAAAAAGCCTTGAACACAAATGTTCATAGCAGCTCTCTTCATAATAATCCCAAACTGGAAACAGTCTAAATATTCATCTACAGGAAAATAGATAAGATGACTAGTATATTTGGACAATGAAATATTACTCAGCAAAAAAAAAAAAAAAAAAAACCAAACTACTGACTCATCTAATAATATGATGAATCTCAAAAATGTTTTGCTGAGTGAAAGAAGTCTGCACCAAAAAAAGTATATTTTGCATGATCCCATTTGTATGAAATTCTAGAATAGGTAAAAATAACCTATGATGATACAAATCAGGGCAGTGGTTGGTGGGGGGAGGAGGGAACACTTGACTGGGAAGGGACACAAGGGAACTTTCTAGGGTGATTAAAAATGTCCTGTCCTGATACGCATTCATCCAAACAGACTGAACAACGCACTTTAGATCTCAGCAATTGTACACAAAGTAGATCTCAATTAAAAAATTAGAAACATGAGCTCTTGTCATTATGATTTGTCATTGCTTTGTTGTGCACCGGGCACCAGGGTCTGGTGCCATGAAAGCAGGACCCTGTTTTCTCTTGCTCCTGCTTAGTTCTACGGTGCCTAGCCCAGGGCCTAGCACAAAAAAGCTACTCAATAAATGCTTGTTGAGTGAATTCATAAATGAATGAATGAATGAGCGTTTGAAGAGGGAGAGAGAAGGGGTGAAAGGAATTTCTGGTTTTCTAAAACTCGAGCTGGGAGAGATACTGTCCTGATATTCATAGCTTTCAAACATCTCTGTTCCGGTTTGCTGGACAGATGGGGGCTTCTGTAACACTCATAGCTTACGTATTTACAAGACAGCCTTGAGGCTGCTTAGGAACTAATTCTGCCTCTCTATGAAATCGTTTGCGTTTAGAAAAGAAGATGTAAATATTCTCCACTCGGCTGAACAGGACGGCTCCCCTGGGCAGCCCCAAACAGTCTTTAAGAACATCCTTTAACTTAGAAAAGTTAAATCTGTACGTCCTGCACATGTACCCCAGAACTGAAAGTATAATAAAAATAAATAAATAAAAGAAGTGTCCCGGGTGAGTTACACTCTGCAAAGGTTGACAGTGAACCCCAGGCCTGCCTGACACCCGGTGGGGGAGAGAACACAGGGTGCAGTTCCAGCTGTGACACACGCTTGCTGGGTGCCTGGGGGCCTATCACTCTCTGAGCTTCAATTTCCTCAATGGTAGAAAGAGGGCACATGCCTCGCCTTCTCTGCCTCGCCAGGGTGGAGCCGTGATGGCAGCATCCCGGGGACACTCAGAAGGTGTAGTTAGTCACTATTTTCTTGGCTTCTCCCACCAGTGAGACTGAGAGGATGCCCAGGGAAGAAAAGACCTAGCTCTTGCCATGCCCTGGGGAGCTGGGCATGTCACCTGCCAGGAGGCCATCTGCCAGGCTGTGGCGCATGGCACAAGCACCCATTTCTCCAGCACAACTTTCCTGTTGGTGCTGCCTGCTAAATTTACTCAGAAGCTCATTACTTCTCATACCTGCACTGCTACCACGCTGGTCTGAGCCATCTTCATCCCTCACTTGGATTCAAACTGGTCTCCAAACTGGTCTCCCTAATTCTGTTCTTGTCTCCTCAGGCCTCCGGGCACTCAGCAAGCGCGTAGTCAGAGCAGGGACTGCATCCTGCGTTCACTCCCCCACCAGGTGTCAGGCAGGCCTGGGGTTCAAGGCCAACTTTTGCAGAGTCTATGCTGTATCCAGCAACAAGAGAGATGATCAAAAATCCTAGGTGAAATCATGTCAAAACTCTGCTTCAAAGCCTACACTGGCTCTAGGAGAGGATGTCCAGTCTTCTTCTTATTATTATTATTTTGAGACGGAGTCTCACTCTGTCGCCCAGGCTGGAGCGCAGTGGCACAATCTTGGTTCACTGCAACCTCTAACTCCTGGGTTCAAGCAATTCTCCTGCCTCAGCCTCCCGAGTAGCTGAGATTACAGGCACACACCACCCTACTTGGCTAATTTTTTTTTCTTTCTTTTTT